GTCTAGTGACACAACACTGCATTTTAGGTGTGATTGCTCTAAATGAAGGACATATTCCCCTTCCTTGTGAAAAGCATCAAGTTCAGCATCCTCCTACACCTCCTGGCTGGACCATCAACTACACCAGTCAGTCATTAAGATTGCTATATTGCCCTGACTGGTTTTGTTCAGTGGATAGAGCATTGGCCTGTGAACTGAAGGGTTGTGGGTTCCATTCCAGTCAAGGGCACATGCCCTGGTAGCAGGCTCATTCCCCAGTGGGGGGGCATGAAATGCAGCCAATCAATGATTCTCTTTTGTCATTGATGTTTCTATCTCTCTCTCCCTCTATCTTCTTCTCTGAAATCAATAAAATAAAATGAAACAAAAATTAAAACTTGTCACAAATGAAAGAACAGAAGAAATCTCCAGAGAGAGATATATGAAATGGAAGCAAGTAAACTACCTGATACAGAATTCAAAATAATGCCTCTAATGTTACTCAAGGATCTTAATGAGTGCTACAAGGGAATCAAAGAGAGCTTCAAGGGACTTAGTGAGACTTTCAAAAATCTTAGTAAAAATTACAAAGATATTAAAAAGGACTAATCAAATATTAAGCATACACAAGCTGAAATGAATGGTTTACAGGGAATCAACTGCAGAGTATAGGATTCTGAGAATGAAATCAACAATTTGGAATATGAGGACGAAAAAGAAAAAAATACCCAATTAGAAGAGCAAAAATTAAAAAATCCAAAATAATGAAGATAGTTTAAGTATACAAACACTTATATTATGGGGGTTCCAGCAGGAAAAGACAGAAGCAAGATATTGCAAGTCTATTTGAAGCAATAATGACAAAAATACCTGTTGAAAAAATAGACCTACAAGTTAAAGAAGTCCAGAGAGTTCAAAACAAGAGGAATCCAAAGAGGCTCACAACAAAAGGCATCATAATTAATATGCCAAGGGTTAAAGACAAAGATTATTAAAAACAGCAAGAGGAAAGCAGTTACCTATAAGGGAGCACCCATACTACTATCAACTGGTTTCTCAACAGAAACTTTGCAGGCCATAAGGGAGTGGCAAGAAATATTGTAAGTAAAGAATAAAGAGCAAGAATCTACAACCAAGATTACTCTACCCAGCAAAACTACCACTTAGAATGGAAGGTCAGATAAAGAGCTTCTCAGAAAACGAAAAGCTAAAGGAGTTCATCTCCATCAAAACAGTATTATTATACATAAAATACTGAAGGGTATTCCTAAAGAAGGAGGAGAAGGAGCAGGAGGAGGAGAATGAGGAGGAGGAGGAGGAGGAGGAGGAGGAGGAGGAGGAGGAGGAGGAGGAGGATAAAGTTGACCAATAAAATGGCAATAAATACATATCTATGAACAATGGAAACGAAAAACCAAATTAAATGAAAAAGGAATCTAATGAACAAAATAAACTGACTAATCAAATAGAACCAGAGGCATGAAAACATGTAACACACTGATGAATCTCAGAGGGTAGGGATGGGCAAGGGGCAGAAAGAGATTAACCAAAGGGCCGAAACCGGTTTGGCTCAGTAGATAGAGCATCAGCCTACAGACTGGGAGGTTCCGGGTTCGATTCTGGTCAAGGGCATGTACCTTGGTTGTGGGCACATCCCCAGTGGGAGGCGTGCAGGAGGCAGCTGATCGATGTTTCTCTCTCATCGATGTTTCTAGCTCTCTATCCCTCTCTCTTCGTCTCTGTGAAAAATCAATAAAATATATTTAAGAGAGAGAGAGAGAGAGAGAGAGAGAGATTGATTAACCAAAGGTCTTATATGTATGTATGCATGACCTATGGACACAAACAATTGGGAAGTGAAGATCTGGAGTGATGCTGGACCTGGGTGGAGAAAACAATGGCAAGAAAGGGGGGACATCTGTAACAGTATTAACAATAAATGTTTTTTAAAAACTAAACAACAACACTAGCCAAATGATTCAGTGGGTTGAAGGGTTGTTCTGGACATGCATAATGGTTGCGGATCTGATCCCTGGACCAGACACACACACACACACACACACACACACACACACACACACACACACACACACTGTTTGATGTTTCTCCCTCATGTTGATGTTACTCTCCCCCCACTCTCCTATCTGCCATCCCGAATCTATAAAAAAAAAAAAAAACAATAAGTATATATTCGGGAGAGGTATTTGTAAATAGAAGCACATATATAAAATTTTTAATTACAAAAGTAAAATTGAATGCATATCATAAAAAGCAAAGCAGCTTACTAGTACACTTAGCAGAGCAGAGGAGGACTCAGGCCGATGGGAAAGAGACCACCTGGGCATGCCCACTGGGGAGCTAGGAGCGGCCCACTGCGCCTGCGCTGGGCCACCTGGCTGCAGGCGGGAAAGGCGGCGGCGGCAGCCATCTTGGAAGGCGTTCCAGACTCCATCGCTGGCCTCACCACCCTCTCCGGCTCCGCGACCGCTGTGTTGCCGGCTCCGGCAGGTCACCCTCAGAGGCGGTAAGGGTAGCAGGGGCCCCATATTGCACTGAGGGGTGTCTCTGCTCCGGGCTGACCTGGCCCCGCTTCCCCCGCGGACCTTCTCTCGGCCGGCCGGACAGAGGGGCGTCACGGAGGGACGGGAGCCTCCGGATGCTCCAGCGGGGTCTCCGCGGGCCCAACAGCGGGGACGGGCCCGGGCTGAGGGTCTGCACGGCGCGCTCTCTCTCTCTCTCTCTCTCTCTCTCTCTCTCTCTCTCTCTCTCTCTCTCTCTCTCTCGGCTGCTCGGCAGAGCAGAACGAGCGCTGCCCCCGGCCGTCCGTCCGTCCGTCCGTCCGTCCGTGAGGAGCCGCCATGCTGCTCCTCCTCCGGCGGCAGACCCCGCACTGAGCGGCCCGCAGCCCGGGTCAATGTCACGGGAGCTGGGAGCCACCACAGGGCTCTCGGGCCTCCCCTGTGCCCTCCCCCTTCCTGGCTGCATGCCTGTGGGCCATGTGCTCCTGCCCAGTGGGAATGTGCTCCTGCCCGGCGGGAAGCGTGCTCCTGCCCGGCGGGAAGCGTGCTCCTGCCCAGTGGGCCATGTGCTCCGGCCCGGCGGGAAACATGCTCCTGCCCAGCGGGAATGTGCTCCTGCCCGGCGGGAATGTGCTCCTGCCCGGCGGGACTGTGCTCCTGCCCGGAGGGAAACGTGCTCCTGCCCAGTGGGAATGTGCTCCTGCCCGGCGGGAGTGTGCTGCCCGGCGGGAAGGTTCCTTCTTCTTGTGCTGAGTGCCTTCCGTGGCAGACGGCACCCCGTGTTCCATCCACCGTCTACCGGTCGGCACGTGGGTGAGAATGGCCGTCCTCTTGGCCTGGGAAACCCTCCAGAGACCCCAGTGCCCTCACTCAGGGGAGCCCGGCACCTGCCCTGAACCCTCCCTTCTCGGCAGGGGATGGAAATGTGAATGGTCCTGGGGTCTCAGGGAGCCCAGCCCTCTTGGCCCTCCCCGTTTCCAAAGGACCCGGGACTGGCCTCCACCTCACTCATCGGAGTAGTCTTCATTTGCTTGCAGCAGGAAAACCCCACATGCCTTTGCCGGTGTCCACACCACATGATCCCTGGGCTTCCCTCCCAAGGCCTTTGGCAGCAAAACACACCCTCAGTAACACAGCGCCCCCAGTTGCTGCCTACAAGGGTTGTTATTTTTCCTTCAGGAAACAGCAGGGGTTGTTATTTTTCCTTCAGGAAACACTTTCCAGATAAATGACCCCCTGGAAGCACTAACCAAACACCCTCAAAGTCTCTGATCCTTGGAACCTGTCCTCCCAAACAGTTGCTCTCCCAGAGACCTCGGTCCTTTTCTCCTCTCACCTCCCTCAGGGACCAATAAGGCAGAATGGAGAACAGAGAATGTTTTTTATTGTTCACCCTATTACGGAGGTCCCAGATTTCCCCCACTAAGACCCCCTCCACCCAGTGCCCCCTTTCTGCTCCCCTGGTCTTCAGCACACTGATGCCTGGGACCATGTGCTCTGCATGTGTTTTCCTTGGTTACTCCCTTCATCTTTTTTAGAAATATATATTTTTATTGATTTTGTACAGAGAGGAAGGGAGAGAGAGAGTTAGAAACATCAATGAGAGAGAGTCTCGACCAGCTGCCTCTTGCACACCCCCTACCGGGGATATGCCCGCAACCAAGGTACATGCCCTTGACCGGAATTGAACCCGGACCTTTCATTCCCCAATCCGACACTCTATCCATTGAGCCAAACCGGTTTCGGCTCCCTTCACCTTCTTTATCCAGCCCCAACCCACCCACCTCCCCTCTCCCCTTTGTCAGTGTTTTCCACGTATCCATGCCTCTGGTTCTATGTTGTTCATTAGTTTATTTTGTGCGCTGGATTCCACATGTGTGTGAGATCATGTGGAATTTGTCTTTCTCTGACTGGCTTATTTTGCTTACCATAATAATCACCAGGTCCATCCATCCTGTTGTAAAGCAAAAGAGTTCCTTCTTTTTTTACAGACATGAAGTATTTTACTGTGCAAATGTATCACAGCTTCTTTATCCACTCATCAGTTGATGGGCACTTGGGTGGGCTGTTTCCCCATCTTGGCTGTTGTAAGGAATGGTGCTGTAAACACAGGGGTGCAAATATTCCTTCTAATTGGTGTTTCTGGGTTGATAGGATATATTCCAAGAAGTCAGATCACTGGGTCAAATGGCAGCTTCACTTTTAAGGCTTTGAGGAAACGCCACGCTGTTCTCCACAGTGGCTGTTCCAGTCTGCATTCCCACCAGCAGTGCACAAGGGTTCCCTTTCCTCCATATCCTTGCCAGCTCTTGTTTGTTGTGTTACTGATGGTAGCCATCCTGGCAGGAGCGCGGTGATAGGACATTGTAGCAAAAGCAGAATCTTAATTCCAGGACACTCTGAGCTTGACCCTGCCTCAGCGCTTCATCCCCACAGGACCTTGGGCTGGGTGTCCTCAGAGACTTCGTTGTATCCCTTCAAGATCACAGCACACCCAGAGGCATGAGCAGAGACAGCTCCTTGGATAACAACCCCATGGAGGACTCCCAGAATTCAGAGGAGACACGCGAGGTGAGGAGACTGGGGCGTATCATGAAGTGACGGGGCACAGGGCAGGGTGACTACATTTCTGAGGACATGAGGTCACAGACAGGGAGGCCAGCCAGCAGTGTTCCATGGTGGGTGGAGATCCCAAGCCTCAGGAGCTTCCCACCCTCACGTGGCATTTGCCTAGCGTCCCTGAAGTAAACAAGGCCTGTGACCTTGGCTGCACTTGGTGACTCTCAGTCCATTCTGGAAGGTGGGAGGAGAGCCCACCAGCAGCATGGATCACCTGCTGCATGCAGGGGAGAGGCTGAGCCTGGTTACCCTTGTCCTCTCAGTTCCCTGTGACATCACCACGGGTACTCTTAGCTCCAGTTTGCAGGTCCAACACAGATTCTGCAGCGCAGGAAGAGGACAGGCTAAAGGGCAAACATTTTCACCTGAGCGGCTGCAGGGATTCATTTATTTCTTCTTTTCCTAGCAATTGCAGGAGGTTCGCAAAAGCTTCACTGAGGAAGAGTGGACCAAAATGGAAAATGCAGATAAATTAATGTATGTGTACATGAAGAAAAGATACGAGTTCATGACTGCTCCAGGTAACAACAGACTGAACTGAGTACACAAGACCATCCCTCTTGCCCTTTACATATCATGGCTTCTTCTTAAGCTCAACAGAATCTACCCAATTCATTTGTGCAGAGAGCAATCCCTAGGCAGCTTCAGAACCTTCTTTTCTATTGTACCCTGAACAGGGCTCAAAGTCAGGAGTGGCCACTGGCCCTTGTTCAGATACCTGCACCTCATGACCTTTCCTGTCCCTGCTATCTCCCGTCATCCACCTTCCTCTCAGGTTGCCCCTTCAGCAACAAATATTTTGCTTCTCCTAGGTCTCATGGCCGTCAGCCCACATAGCTTACTTCCAAATAAAGGAATCCTAAAATCTCCTGACCAAGGTTTAGATGAAAATCAGAACCCTGGTCATCATGGTGAGTGACAGGAAAGTCATGGAAGTTATCGCTGAAGCCCAATTTAAGCTCAGAAAGGTTCTCACAGGGAATCAGTGGCGAGTAAAGAATGTGGATGCAGAAGGTGAAGTAGTCAGTTCAGTGGTGATACATATAAAATCCTGAAACATGCAAAAGAACAATATGTGTTTTATAGATACTAAGTCACTGGGAAATACATCAAAACCTGAATGTGAATAAAACTCATCAAACTCAGGAGTCAAGAAGTGCAGCAAGAGGAACAGCAGGGATCATCGGTGAGGGCTGCACCGATGCCGTCAGCTGTGACGTGTTCCCGGTGTTCTGTTGTGTTTTGAATGAAAGATCTCAGAACCCTGTGAAGCAGATGTGCACTCATGTTGTCATCTGACTAGGCCCGGTGGCAGATGGGCACATGTTTCCCATAAAGTCCTCAGTGGTTTTCTGCAGTTTGAAACATTTCTTTATTTAAAGGAGTTAATATTCTTATATTCTTGCTGCACACACTCATGGGCCACAGCAAAAAATTTTTAAATATATTTCATTGATTTTCTATAGAGAGGAAGGGAGAAGGATAGAGAGTTAGAAACATTGATGAGAGAGAAACATTGATCAGCTGCCTTCTGCACACTCCCTACTGGGGATGTGCCCACAACCAAGGTACATGCCCTTGACCAGAATCAAATATGGAACCCTTCAATCCACAGGCAGACGCATTATCCACTGAGCTAATCCGGTCAGGGCCACAGGAAATTTTTATTAAAGTCCAAGTCCTCCAAAAACATCCCAAGACAATTTTAGGACATCATTGGGGTAGCTTAAGATGAGCATCTGAAGAGACAAAATGAATAAGGTGTTTTGTAATCACACTCACCTGTTTTCCTGAGCTTTACCAAAAACAGTGGACTTCTCAGTCCTAACTGAATCTGATTCTATGAATTGACTTTGGGAGAGCATTTGAGATACACACACACACACACACACACACACACACACACACACACTGAGGTTTGCTAGTGGTGTGTGAGCAGCGGCCTCACGGGGTGAGAGAAGCCACAGGTTCAAAAATCTCAGCCCAGTGAGCAGTGTGCTTACTCACTGTGAAGAGGGTGGGTATGTGCACTGGCTCTTTGCTTGGACAGCCTCGTTGCAAGAAGACAGGGTCAGAAGGCTCACTCTGTCTCCAATAGCCTTATGCTCCCAGCTCCACAGCCCCTGTTCCGCAAGCTCCCAAGATCAATGCCGGGGCTGAAAACCCAGCACACAGCTTTTGCCAGTGGAGGAGGCTTTGTATGCGGAACGCCTTGCAGAATCGCTGTACTAAATCAGACGTTGTTCATCACACAGTGAACCGCTTCATTCGGGTATAATTGACATTCTATAACATTCACCCGTTGTGAGTATGAGAAGTCCACTGTGTTTGGTAAATCTACTCAAATCTAGTTACCGAACATCGTTCAGTGGATACAGTTCACGTTCCCAACAAATCAATTTAATTCTTTGGGGGAAATGTAAGAAGTATGTCATGGAATGGCATGAGACAGTGGTGGAGTCTAGTTCCAGTTTCCTAAACCATCAGAAGGAATGTTATGAATTAATCCTGTGCACAAACATACAATCTATAGTAAAGATAATTCAGAAACCAGTCCCAAAATAACCCCTTGATGGTGAGTGGATTCATACCCTCTGCTGCAGATTTCCCTGGTACTTCAGGATTCTCCCAGGATTTGGTGCACCTTTACCACCATAGATCATCAGTGCTCTATCACCTCCTTACGAAGGAAATTCCTCAGGCGGCTTCCAACAAGCAACAGAGAAAACACCTAAAGGTATCTCCCAATTCTGAAGGTCCATAGATCCTTGCTCCCTGCAGGAATGTAAATATGGTATGAGTAAAATAGTGAGACAGCCAATAACATTTTTCATCTACATAGTGATGCCGGATATTTTTTTCCACTTTTTAAATTAGGTATTATATGTATACTTAGCTTACCATTTCACCCCCAGCCAACTCCCATAGATGCTCTCATCCCCCCAGTGTTTTGCGTCCATTGGTCATGCTTATATGCATGGATACAAAGTCTTTTGGTTAATCTCTTATCTCCTTCACTTCTCCATAACCTTCCCCCTGTAATTTGACAGTCTGTTTCATGCTTTACTGCCTCTGAGTCTTTTTGTTCATCAGTTTATAATGTTCTTTATTATCCACAAATGAGTGAGATCATGTGGTATTTTTCTTTCACTGATTGGCTTATTTCACTTAGCATAATGCTCTCCAATTCCATCCAGATTGCTGCAAATGGTAAGAATTCCTTCTTTTTATGGCAGCATAGTATTCCATTGTGTAGATGTACCGTAGTTTTCTGATCCAATCATCTGCTGACGGGCACTTGGCTGTTTCCAAATCTTAGCTATTGTAAATTGTGCTGCAATGAACATAGGGGTGCATATGTCCTTTCTGACTGGTGTTTCTAGTTTCTTACGATGTATTCCTAGGAGTGGGATCACTGGCTCAAATGGGAGTTCCATTTTCAGTAGGAAACTCCATACTGTTCTCCAAGGTGGATGCACCAGTCTGCCTTCCCACCAGCAGTGCAAAAGGGTTCCTTATTCTCCCATCCTCGCCAACATTTGTAGTTTATTGATTTGTTGATGATAGCCATTCTAACAGGTGTGAAATGGTACCGCATTGTTGTTTTGATTTGCATCTCTCCGATAATTAGCGACTTTGAGCACGTTTTCATGTGTCTCCTAGCCTCCTTTCTTTCTTCTTTCAAAAAGATTCTATTTAGGTTCATTGCCCATTCTTTGTATTGGATCATTTATCTTCTTTTATTAAGTTGAATAAGTTGTCTGTAGATGTTGGACATTAAACCTTTATCAGTGATAACATTTGCAAATATGTTCTCCCATACAGTGGGCTTTCTTGTTGTTTTGTTGATGGTGTCTTTTGCTGTGCAAAAGCTTTATATATATATAGTCTCATTTGTTTATTTTTCTCTTTAGCTTCCATTGCCCTAGGGAGAGTATCAGTGAAGAAGTTCTTTCAGTATATGTCTGAGATTTTACTGCCTGTGGATTCTTGTAGTATTTTTATGGTTTCTGATCTTATGTTTAAGTCCTGTATCCATTTTGAGTTTAATATTGTGTATCATGGAAGTTGGTGGTCTAATTTCATTTTTTTTTTGCATATATCTGTCCAATTTCCCAACACCATTTGTTGAAGAGACTGTCTTGACTCCATTGTATGTTCGTGCCTCCTTTGTCAAATATTAATTGAGCATAGTGGTTTGGGTCGATATCTGGATTCTCTATTCTATTCCAATGATCTATATGTCTGTTCTTGTGCCAGTACCAAGCTGTTTTGTGAACAGTGGCATTGTATTACAGCTTGAAATCTAGTATTTAGATTCCACCTACTTTATTCTTCTTTCTCAGGATTGCTGTGACTATTCTGGGTCTTTTTTATTCCAGATGAATTTTTGGATAGTTCTTTCTAGGTCTGTGAAATATGCCATTGGTATTTTTTTAATATATTTTATTGATTTTTTTGCCCCCCTCCCTCCCATACATACCCTCCCTCCCCACAGTTTTATGTCCATTGATTGTACTTATATGCATGTACACAAGTCCTTCGGTTGATCTATTATCTCCCCCAGATCTTCCTCCCCTCCCCACTGTAATTTGACAGTCTGCTTGTTGCTTTACTGTCTCTATATCTGTCTCTTGGTTCATCAGTTTATAATGTTCTTTATCATCCAGAAATGAGTGAGGTCATGTGGTGTTTCTCTTTCATTGATTGGCTTATTTCACTCAGCATGATGTTCTCCAATTCCATCCAGGTTGCTGCAAATGATGAGAATTCCTTCTTTTTATGGCAGCATAGTATTCCATCGTGTAGATGTACCACTGTTTTTTGTAGCCGAAGGAACCACTGAGCTAAAGCCAGCCCAGTACCACTGTTTTTTGATCCAATCATCTGCTGATGGGCACCTAGGCTGTTTCCAAATTCTGTCTATTATAGATTGTGCTGCTATGAACATAGGGGTGCATATATCCTTTCTCATTGGTGTTTCTAGTTTCTTGGGATATATTCCTAGAAGTGGGGTTACTGGGTCAAATGGGAGTTCCATTTTCAGGGGTTTTTTATTTTTATTTATTTATTTATTTATTTATTTATTTATTTATTTATTTTTACATATTTTATTGATTTTTCTTTGCCCCCCTCCCTCCCTCACATCCTCTCCCTCCCCAGAGTTTTATGTCCATTGGTTGTACTTATATGCATGTACACAAGTCCTTCGGTTGATCTATTATCTCCCCCAGATCCTCCTCCCCTCCTCGCTGTAATTTGACAATCTGCTTGTTGCTTTACTGTCTCTATATTTATCTTTTGGTTCATCAGTTTATAATGTTTTTTATTGTCCACAAATGAGTGAGGTCATGTGGTGTTTCTCTTTCATTGATTGGCTTATTTCACTCAGCATGATGTTCTCCAATTCCATCCAGGTTGCTGCAAATGATGAGAATTCCTTCTTTTTATGGCAGCATAGTATTCCATTGTGTACATGTACCATAGTTTTTGGATCCAATCATCTGCTGACGGGCACCTAGGCTGATTCAGATTCTGGCTATTGTAGATTGTGCTGCTATGAACATAGGGGTGCATATATCCTTTCTGATTGGTGCTTCTAGTTTCTTGGGATATATTCCTAGAAGTGGGATTACTGGGTCAAATGGGAATTCCATTTTCAGTTTTTTGAGGAAACTCCACACTGTTCTCCACAGTGGTTGCACCAGTCTGCATTCCCACCAGCAGTGCACGAGGGTTCCTTTTTCTCCGCAACCTCGCCAACACTTGTCGTTTGTTGATTTGTTGATGTTGGCCATTCTGACAGGTGTGAGATGGTACCGCATTGTTGTTTTGATTTGCATCTCTCGGATAATTAGTGACTTTGAGCATGTTTTCATGTGCCTTTTGGCCTTCCTTCTGTCTTCTTTTGAAAATATTCTATTTAGGTCCATTGCCCATTTCTTAATTGGATCATTCATCTTCCTTTTATTTAGTTGTATCAGCTGTCTGTAGATGTTGGGGATTAAACCTTTATCAGTGGTGTTATTTGCAAATATGTTCTCCCACACTGTGGGCTTTCTTGTTGTTTTGTTTATGGTTTCTTTTGCTGTAAAAAAAAAAAAAAAAAAAAAAAAAAAAAAAAAAAAAAAAAAAAAAAAAAACTTTTTATTTTGATGTAATCCCATTTGTTTATTTTCTCTTTAGCTTCCATTGCCCTAGGGGCAGTATCAGTGAAGAAGTTCTTCTGGCATACGTCTGAGATTTTGCTGCCTATGGATGCTTCTAGTATTTTTATGGTTTCCCGTCTGATGTTTAAGTCCTGTATCCATTTTGAGTTTATTTTTGTGTATGGTGTAAGTTGGGGATCTAGTTTCATTCCTTGGCATGTGTCTGCCCAATTTTCCCAACACCATTTATTGAAGAAACTGTCTTGACTTCATTGTATATTCGTGCCTCCTTTGTCAAATATTAAGTGAGCATAGTGATTTGGGTTGATATCTGGGTTCTCGATTCTATTCCATTGATCTATATGTCTGTTCTTATGCCAGTACCAGGCTGTTTTGAGAACAGTGGCTTTGTAATACAGTTTGAAGTCTGGTATTGAGATCCCTCCTACTTTACCCTTCTTTCTCAGGATTGCTGTGGCTATTAGGGGTCTTTTATTGTTCCAAATGAACTTTTGGAGAGTTCTTTCTAGGTCAGTGAAATATGTTGTAGGTATTTTAATGGGGAGTGCATTGAACCTATAGATGGCTTTAGGAAGTATGGACATTTTGATGATGTTGATTCTACCAATCCATGAACATGGTATGTTCTTCCATCTCCTTACATCTTCCTCTATCTCTTTTTTCAGTGTTGTGTAGTTTTCTGCATATAGGTCCTTTTCTTCCTTAGTTAAGTTTATTCCTAGGTATCTTAATTTTTTTGATGCGATGGTAAATGGAATTGCTTTTTTAGTCTCTGTTTCTATAGTTTCACTGTTGGTGTATAGAAATGCCATGGATTTCTTGGCATTAATTTTGTATCCTGCTACATTGCCAAATTCATTTATTAAGTCAATTAGTTTTTAAATGGAGTCTTTTGGGTTTTTTATGTACAATATCATGTCATCTGCAAATAAGGATAACTTTACTACTTCTTTTCCAATTTGGATGCCTTTTATTTCCTCCTCTTGTCTAATTTCAATGGCTAGTACTTCCAGTACTATGTCAAACAGGAGTGGCGAGAGTGGGCATCCCTGTCTTGTTCCTGTTCTTAGAGGGAATGGTTTTAGTTTTTGCACATTGAGTATAATGTTGGCTGCGGGTTTATCATATATAGCTTTTATTATGTTGAGGTATGATCCTTGTACTCCCACCTTGTTAAGAGTTTTTTATCAGAAAAGGGTGTTGGATTTTATCAAATGCTTTTTCTGCATCAATTGATATGACTATATGATTTTTATCTTTCAGTTTGTTTATGTGATGTATCACGTTTATTGATTGGCGGATATTGTACCACCCTTGCATTCCTGGAATAAATCCTACTTGGTCGTGGTGTATGATCTTTGTGATGTTCATCTGGAGTCTATTTGCTAGAATTTTGTTGAGGAATTTGGCATCTATGTTAATGAGGGATATTGGCCTGTAATTCTCTTTCATTGAGTTGTCTTTATCTGGTTTTGGTATTAGGGTGATGCTGGCTTCATAGAAGGAGTTTGGAAGTGTTCCTTCCTCTTGCATTTTTGGAATAGTCTGAGGAGGATAGGTTTTAGTT